TTTGCGCAGTGCAGTGGTTAATGAGTGTAATTGGACAGAATTGTTGCTAGGCAGGGAAGTAAATGAAATGTATGCCAAATTTTTAAAACTATACGAGGAAGGCACACAAACATTCATACCAAAACAGAGATGCAGGGCCAGAAAACAGGATTGGTTCGACAGAAATTGTGAGAGGGCAAGAGACCAAAAGACACAAAAATGGAATCAGTATAGGAAGAGGCCAAACCCCCAAACATACCAGCGATACAAAGATGCGAGAAACAATTATACAGCAGTAAGGAGAGAGGCAGAAAGAAATTTTGAAAAAGGGATAGCAGATAAATGTAAAACAGAACCGGGCCTATTCTACAAATTCATAAACAACAAATTGAAGGTAAAGGATAATATCCAGAGGTTGAAAATGGGAAACAGATTCATGGAAAATGAAAAGGAAATGTGTGAAACATTAAATGAAAAGTTCCAAAGTGTGTTTGTACAAAATGAAATCTTCAGAGAACCAGACACAATAAGAATTCCAGAGAACAACGTAGAGCGGATAGAGGTGTCTAGAGATGAAGTGAAAAATATGCTAAAGGAGCTCGGGAGGAACAAAGCAGCTGGCCCAGATGGCGTTTCACCATGGGTTCTGAGAGAATGTGCATCTGAGCTCAGCATTCCACTTCACCTGATCTTTCAGGCATCCCTGTGTACAGGAATCGTAGCAGACGTGTGGAAACAGGCTAACATAGTTCCAATCTACAAAAGTGGCAGCAGGGAAGACCCCCTCAATTATAGACCTGTATCATTGACAAGTGTAATAGTGAAAGTATTGGAAAAGCTAATCAAAACTAAATGGGTAGAACACCTGGAGAGAAATGATATAATATCAGACAGACAGTATGGTTTTCGATCAGGAAGATCCTGTGTATCGAATTTACTCAGTTTCTATGATCGGGCCACAGAGATATTACAGGAAAGAGATGGCTGGGTTGACTGCATCTATCTGGACCTAAAAAAGGCTTTCGACAGAGTTCCACATAAGAGGTTGTTCTGGAAACTGGAAAATATTGGAGGGGTGACAGGTAAGCTTCTATCATGGATGAAATATTTTCTGACTGATAGAAAAATGAGGGCAGTAATCAGAGGCAGTGTATCGGAATGGAGAAATGTCACAAGTGGAGTACCACAGGGTTCAGTTCTTGCACCAGTGATGTTTATTGTGTACATAAATGATCTACCAGTTGGTATACAGAATTATATGAACATGTTTGCTGATGATGCTAAGATAATAGGAAGGATAAGAAATTTAGATGATTGTCATGCCCTTCAAGAAGACCTGGACAAAATAAGTATATGGAGCACCACTTGGCAAATGGAATTTAATGTTAATAAATGTCATGTTATGGAATGTGGAATAGGAGAACATAGACCCCACACAACCTATATATTATGTGAGAAATCTTTAAAGAATTCTGATAAAGAAAGAGATCTAGGAGTGGTTCTAGATAGAAAACTATCACCTGAGGACCACATAAAGAATATTGTGCAAGGAGCCTATGCGATGCTTTCTAACTTCAGAATTGCATTTAAATACATGGATGGCGATATACTAAAGAAATTGTTCATGACTTTTGTTAGGCCAAAGCTAGAATATGCAGCTGTTGTGTGGTGCCCATATCTTAAGAAGCACATCAACAAACTGGAAAAGGTGCAAAGACATGCTACTAAGTGGCTCCCAGAACTGAAGGGCAAGAGCTACGAGGAGAGGTTAGAAGCATTAAATATGCCAAAACTAGAAGACAGAAGAAAAAGAGGGGATATGATCACTACGTACAAAATAGTAACAGGAATTGATAAAATCGACAGGGAAGACTTCCTGAGACCTGGAACTTCAAGAACAAGAGGTCATAGATTTAAACTAGCTAAACACAGATGCCGAAGAAATATAAGAAAATTCACCTTCGCAAACAGAGTGGTAGACGGTTGGAACAAGTTAGGTGAGAAGGTGGTGGAGGCCAAGACCGTCAGTAGTTTCAAAGCGTTATATGACAAAGAGTGCTGGGAAGACGGGACACCACGAGCGTAGCTCTCATCCTGTAACTACACTTAGGTAATTACACTTAGGTAATTACACAGAGGCTACCTCAATTCTCTCCCGCCCTCCCTCCCTCACCAAAATTCCTCCTCCCACAATACTACGCACAGCGCTAATTATCACCACAATCCTGCTGTTATCACAATACTGGTCACTAGGTCCTGTAAATGAATAATTGACCAAGTTTATTTTGTAAAGGAACATAAGAAGTCGTTTGAAGATTCCTAGATGGACGAAATAATGCTGTGGTGCTGTGGCTAGCACTGTGAACATCATGAACAGCATTGAATCACTGATATTTGAACATTGTACACTGTCATTATCATACTCAGGCTCTTCTGTAATACTATTATGGCTAAATAATACAAGTTATATATATATATATTGACATTTTTAGGCGATGTATAAATACCCGGAGGCGCGTTACGCACCCTCGTTGAAGGCCTGCAGGCGTGTCGCGCAGTTTAGGGGTTAACCACTGTGATGCGCCACGTTTATTGAGAATTTCTGGCTCTGTACCAAAAATAAAGTGTTTGCAAAAAAAAAATATCTTTTCTTTGTAAAATGTTAAATTCCTTTCCCTGAAAATGTCCTTGGAAAAAAATAACAAATTTCACTTATTTTGGCTGTGGGGACGTGGATAAAATGGTGTGTGACGTCACCACAGGCTGTTCACCTGTGCGTGAAGCTTCCACAGGCAGTAAGTAGCGTGGGGCATTCAAGCTTCGCGGGTGGCCACAAATATATTAACATTTATTTTTTCTGTTTATTTTCAATGCTTTATAATTATTTTTTCATCATATATGATGGACATTTGTGTCCTTTACAATATGTATACAGTAGAACATTCATAATGTTCCATGGAATTGTGATACATGTGTCAGTAATGTGTCCACAACAAATGTTCATTGGCACAATATTACCTGTTTAATATTCAATATATTTACAATATGTACACTTTCACACACTATTTATACACTCACACACACACTGTATTACACACTCTGTACTTTGGAAGTGAGTGATAATAAAAAATGCAGTCCATGGTACACATTGTGAATTCGCACTTGATGCACAAGGTACAAACAGATTTTTCACTTTGTTTCTTCGTTTTGGAAAGATCTAGGGAAAACCTCAATGATAAAGTTCTGTTTTGGATTCACTCATATCTTCATCTGTATATGGGAAAGTGGGTGCATCTATAAAAATTGGAGATAGCATGGCTGGCGCTCAGCTACTACTGGGATACACTTGCTGAATCGTCCTCATCGGTGCTGTATCACTTGCATCCAACCCTTGTGTTAGGTTCTTATTGTTCTTCATCAATATCATGACCCTTTTGTTCTTCAAACAATAAGGTCTGAATTTCACCAACAGAGCGAGGTCTTTCAACACCGTGTTGGACAGGGGTTGGGAGCCAAGAGGCGAGTGCGCCACCCATGGTTGCTCACTCGGAACTGATCGAGCCAGCATCCCTAGAGCATTCTGGGAATTTTTTCCAAAATGGCTGCCTCTCACTTGAGATCCCAGGAGTCCATTTCGTACCCAACCAACCCCGCTCGCGTTTTAAATGGGTACGAAGTCTTAAATTGGTGTTTTTGTGGCCGGCGCAGTTTTAGGAGAACGAGTTTCCTCGGCCAGTGCAGCACGGTGGTTAAAGTCAGCTATGTTCCTAGCTGGGATTTATAAGAACCAGTCAAGTGTGTGGATGTCAGAAGTAATATTTGTAGATTGATTTAATAAGGTGCATCTTATTAAATCAAATCTTCATCTCTTGTGCATCTCATGCACCAGAGATGAAGGAGCACCTGAAAAGTGCTAGCCTCCTGCAAAATAGCAAAGTTGTGCTGCTGCTATCGTGCAACACAACCATGAAGTGATGAGCTAGTAAATGACAATATCATTGGTACATTCTTACCACCCAATACAACTTCACTGATCCAACCAATGATCAAAGGATAATTAAGAACCTTAAGCACTAATATTAGAGGATATTTGCCAAATGTCTCAATAATCAGCGTTATTGAGACATTAACAGAGACATCTTCTTCTTCGGAAGAAGACGAAGAAGCGTTAAAATACAAGGTACAGTAATATGGAAAATGTTCAGCAACATTTTGAAGACATTCTGGCATTTATGAAAAAGAGTAATAGTGAGTTTGACACTTAGGACAAGATGTGCCTGTACAATATGTACATGAAGATTTTACTAGCAAGAGCAATGAGAATTAAACAAATATCAAAGAGTCTTTTTGCAAAGGCTTCCAACAAAGCTTGTATTGCCTCACCTGCACCTAACTCATCACGTTGACCCAAATGCTAAAACATCTGAGATTATTACCTCATCACCATTAATCTCCACTTTGGTCAACCCAACACCATCAAACAATAACAAATCATCATTGATTTGATATTAATGTAGGTGTAAGTCAAAAAGAATAAGAGGCAAACATTGTGAGTGTGAGAGGAAGTGTTGATTGTGTGTGTGAGCAGTGGCCTGGATGTTGTTAGGAGCAAGGCTTGGTGGTAGCAATTTGTTAAGAGGGAGTTAGGTTCTTTTTCTTGTCTGGCTGTAATAGCTCACAAGGATCACTGCTTACCTAACACTATGAAACTGGGATATGCTGGTTCTCTATGTGGCTATATAATGTGTAAGATGTGGTGAATGGACATAACATTTTGTAGTATATTTAACCTTTGTTTCCTCTAATACTCTCCCATATTATCTTGGCTGGTGTCTCCATATCCCATGAAAGTGTGAATTAAAATAGTGAGGATGATATGGTTGAGCAGTTACTGATGATATTGTTGGGCAAGGGATCATCCCTTGATCCTTTTCACTCCAATTAGTTAGGAAAGAAATGTGGGTAATATATTTATTAAGCAGACGGGTAATTTATTGTATTGTTAAATGTTTTACTTGCAGATGAAGCGATTAAGCAGTTTCGAAATATTGCTCGGCAGTATTCATACTTCTATCGTATCCTGCACTCTTCACCAGAGGCCAAAAGTTGGCCAATTAAAGACTACTTTACATTTAAAGCATATAGGTGAGCTTGGTTATACTTTAATATTTCTAGCTTTGTTGATGATACTGGTTGGTGATGTGTTAGTGTGCTATGTGTATACACTCATGTCAACACTCAAAAGAAAGGTGTTAAGTATTCATAATTATATTAACAATTTGAATGGCTACATTTGCTCACTCTCACATTTTTATATTGTTTAGTTACAAAGACATTCATAAAAAGTAAAACAACTCGTATATCATATTGTTTTGACCTCCCAACACACACACAATTGTGGCCTTCTGCTTGTTGTAGCCAGCTACTTATCCATCCATCCATCCATGCAACCTGTCAGCTGCTTATCCATCCATCCATACTACCTGCCAGCTGCTTATCCATCCATCCATCCATACTACCTGCCACCTGCTTATCCATCCATCCATACAACCTGCCAGCTGCTTATCCATCCATCCATCCATACAACCTGCCACCTGCTTATCCATCCATCCATCCATACAACCTGCCAGCTACTTATCCATCCATCCATCCATACAACCTGCCAGCTGCTTATCCGTCCATCCATACAACCTGCCAGCTGCTTATCCGTCCATCCATACAACCTGCCAGCTGCTTATCCGTCCATCCATACAACCTGCCAGCTGCTTATCCGTCCATCCATACAACCTGCCAGCTGCTTATCCGTCCATCCATACAACCTGCCAGCTGCTTATCCGTCCATCCATACAACCTGCCAGCTGCTTATCCATCCATCCATCCATAAAACCTGCCAGCTGCTTATCCATCCATCCATCCATACAACCTGCCAGCTACTTATCCATCCATCCATACTACCTGCCAGCTGCTTATCCATCCATCCATACAACCTGCCAGCTGCTTATCCATCCATCCATCCATACAACCTGCCAGCTGCTTATCCATCCATCCATACTACCTGCCACCTGCTTATCCATCTATACAACCTGCCAGCTGCTTATCCATCTATACAACCTGCCAGCTGCTTATCCATCCATCCATACAACCTGCCAGCTGCTTATCCGTCCATCCTTACAACCTGCCAGCTGCTTATCCGTCCATCCATACAACCTGCCAGCTGCTTATCCGTCCATCCATACAACCTGCCAGCTGCTTATCCGTCCATCCATACAACCTGCCACCTGCTTATCCATCCATCCATACAACCTGCCAGCTGCTTATCCGTCCATCCATACTACCTGCCAGCTGCTTATCCATCCATCCATACAACCTGCCAGCTGCTTATCCATCCATCCATACTACCTGCCAGCTGCTTATCCATCCATCCATACTACCTGCCAGCTGCTTATCCATCCATCCATACTACCTGCCAGCTGCTTATCCATCCATCCATACTACCTGCCAGCTGCTTATCCATCCATCCATACAACCTGCCACCTGCTTATCCATCCATCCATACAACCTGCCAGCTGCTTATCCGTCCATCCATACTACCTGCCAGCTGCTTATCCATCCATCCATACAACCTGCCAGCTGCTTATCCATCCATCCATACAACCTGCCAGCTGCTTATCCATCCATCCATACAACCTGCCAGCTGCTTATCCATCCATCCATACAACCTGCCAGCTGCTTATCCATCCATCCATACAACCTGCCAGCTGCTTATCCATCCATCCATACAACCTGCCAGCTGCTTATCCATCCATCCATACTACCTGCCAGCTGCTTATCCATCCATCCATACTACCTGCCAGCTGCTTATCCATCCATCCATACTACCTGCCAGCTGCTTATCCATCCATCCATACAACCTGTCAGCTTCTTATCCATCCATCCATACAACCTGCCAGCTGCTTATCCATCTATACAACCTGCCAGCTGCTTATCCATCCATCCATACAACCTGCCAGCTGCTTATCCATCTATACAACCTGCCAGCTGCTTATCCATCCATCCATACAACCTGCCAGCTGCTTATCCATCTATACAACCTGCCAGCTGCTTATCCATCCATCCATACAACCTGCCAGCTGCTTATCCATCCATCCATACAACCTGCCAGCTGCTTATCCATCTATACAACCTGCCAGCTGCTTATCCATCCATCCATACAACCTGCCAGCTGCTTATCCATCTATACAACCTGCCAGCTGCTTATCCATCCATCCATACAACCTGCCAGCTGCTTATCCATCCATCCATCCTTTTGTTTTCAAATGGTGTTAATGAAATACATTACTAATACTTTCCAGTCTATTAATTTTAGTAATAATAAAAAATGTATATAATATGATTAGAGAAGTGTGTATCATATTTATCCTGTAATATTTAACCCTTACACTGCTCAGGGATCCTGGGGACATTTACACCCCTGTGCGCAAGAAAAAAAAAATTCAAATATTTTTTTTCGTCTTCTAAACATGTTAATTTGTGTCCCCTGAGCACGGGAAAAATAAAAAAAAAAATCGTAGGTGACATATTTTGGGCGCAATTGACCGAGGAAGTCTGGCAAAAAGTGGGCGTTGACAGAGCGGTTGTCAGACCCAGTCAGCGTCACCCGCGTTGACAGATGGGAGTTGCCACAAAGATATTATTACCTAATTGTTTCAATGTCTCCGATTGATTTTTTCTTAGTTTTTTTGCAGTAATATTATTCAATAGTGTGTATTGTAATATATTTATATAATAAAAGGGGTGAATAATCGCTATACTCAAAAGTATGATGTGCATATTAGTGATTCAATTATTATGTTCATAAAACAATAAACAAATAGTTTTGCTGCTATTACACTCTATACACAGGTTATATATAAGTATCTGCATGTTTTGGTCACCATAACGAACCACTAAGTTGGTTTTGAGAGTCGAAAAGCAACGAGGAGTTACCGCCACACACCAGCCAGCCTCTCGCTGCCACTCCCTCAACACACGCACTAAACTTTCTTCCCCAACAATACCATTTGTGGTGTTATTACACTATATACAGATGTTGTATATAAGTATGTATATATTTTGTTCACCACAACTGTACAGCTAAGCTGATATAGTTAGTTCAGGCACTAAGAGTCGTCGCTATACACAGATGGCGGCTGGCGGCTCCCTCATTCTTTCAAGGTCACACGCACTAAACTTTCTCCCACAACAATACTGTTTGAAGTGTTATTACCCTATATACACATATTATATACAAGTATCTACATGTTGTATGCACCGTAACTGTACACCTAAGCTTGTAGTACGCCCAAAGAGCATAGTGGCCACCCTCTAAACAGCTAGAGAAATCATGCAGATGACGTCACCTCCGTCACCCATATGGCTCCTCCCAGCATAATCCTTTTGCTGTTATTACACTAATACACACATTATATATAAGTATCTACATTTGTGTTCACCATAGAGAACCACTTAGCTGGTATGGTGAATGCAGACAATAACAGGTGACCACACAGTCAGTAAACGATGCTGTCTCCCTCCGTCTCTCAGCATCAGCATCACTCCTCCCACAGCGCTAATTATTACAACAATCCTGCTATTATCACAACCCTGGTTATTTATATCACAGTCATGGGTCATCTGTAATATTGTCATCGCTAAATAATAACAATTATATATTTATTTTGACATTTTTCGGCGATGCTGTGGTCACAAGCTGAACAGCAATGCTGTTCGCTCATGCTGCGTGCGCCAGCCTTGGTTGCTCCAACAATACTGTGCCTCTCACACCTGAGAATATTGCCCACGATTTTTTTTAAAAATGGCATCTGTTTACAAGAGCCCTGAGGAAGCTACTGTGAACCCCGTGTAGCCGCGGGCCATTTGAATTGGGCCTGGCACCCTATGGCGTATATATACGCCATGCACACCATGGGACATGTTACTCAGGGCGTATATATACGCCATGCGCAGTTTAAGGGTTAATGTATGGAGGGATAATGTTATTGAGTGATGTTGAGCAGTAACTTGTATCCACAGATGGGCCGTCTCGACAGTCATGACACGGCAGAATCGTATACCAGGTAAAGGTTCGTGTGGTCAGATGGCTCTTATTCCTGCCTGGGACATGGCAAACCATCAGGAAGGAATTGTAAGTATCTCTAAATAAATAAATAAATATATACAGTGGTACCTCGGAATACGAGTTTTTCGGAATACGAGCAGGATTTCCTTGGAAAATGTGTGTCGGAAGGTGAAGGTTACCTCAGAAGGCGAGTTTGTTGATACGCGTACAGGCCGACCTAGCGTTTGGTGGTGCGGCGATCGTCGCCCCTCACCCCTCAGTTTACCAGTGCCTTGCGCCCAGTGACTAACCCACGTCAATTCTTCACCCGGATTTTCAGTGTTTTGTTGGATTTTTGGTCATTTGACCATAAAGGTTATTATATATCTTGCCATGGGTCCCAAGAAAGCAGTGGTAAGGTTTAACCTAAGAAAATAGTGCGGCATTTGGGCGGTCGAGTGGCAACACTGAAAAGTGTATACTCTTTTTCACTGTCCTGACATTAATTTTCGATTTATGTATTTCATTTTTGTACCAATGTGTTCGCAATAGAATGTTTTATAAGAACATAAGTATAAAATGTCACACAAGCATGCGTTAGACCAGCACCAAATAAAAAACTACGTTGATTACACTTGGCGTGTCAACAATACAATGGTCGTACCTCGATGGTGCAATGCTTTGCCGTTCTCCCAAATAGGCTATGCGGCTATTAGAGAAAACGAAAATTTCATGGCGGACATTTTCAAACTATCCCAGAGTCGATCGCTTAATAAATAGAGTTTATAGAAATATTTTTTCTCGTGACTCGTGAGCGAGTCCGCTGTGCAACCTCAACACAAAAAGTGGTAATGCTCTCGAGCGACGTGATAACGCTAAAGTGTTAAGAAAATGTGTGAAGTATGGGAAGAATTGCAAAGTTTTGTTGAAGAAACTCACCCAGATAAAGCTGTAGCAGGCCGTTGCATTGACCTTTTAAATGACCATGTAATGTTTTACTACAGACAAGTGTTAAAATGTAGGGAAAAACAAGTGTCTTTAGACAGATTCTTAGTAAGACAAGCAAGTCTTAGTGGTATGCAGGCAAAACATGCCAGAGTGTGCATACCAGTGAAGTCCTCACTGCCTGATGTTATATTGGAAGGGGACTCCCCTTCCAAACAGTAACACCTCTTCTCCTCCCTCCTCCTCCTCCTCACTATCTTCCGTACGCCAACAGCTGTCATCAGCAAGGGTAAGTAATAACTTGAACATAGTTTTGTAGGTTTATTTAGATGAATTAGGTATAAAATTTAGTTTGAAGTGGGGTTTTTTGGGGTAGTCAGGAACGGATTAATTCATTTCCCATTATTTCTTATGGGGAAATTAGCTTCGGAATACGAGCTGTCTCCAGGAACGGATTAAACTCTTAAACCGAGGTACCACTCAGTGGTACCTCGGTTTAAGAGTTTAATCCATTCCTGGAGACAGCTCGTAATCCGAATCAAATTTCCCCATAAGAAATAATGGGAAATTAATTAATTCGTTCCTGACTACCCAAAATCCTCGCTTCAAACTAAATTTTATACCTAATTCATCTAAATCTACACTACAATACTATGTTCAAGTTATTACTTTCCCTTGCTGATGACAGCTGTTGGCATATGGAAGATGGTGAGGAGGTGGGAGGAGGAGAAGAGGTGTTACTGAATGGAAGGGGAGTCCCCTTCCATTATCACATCAGGCAGTGATGACTTCTCTGGGGTGCACTCCCTGGCACATTTTGCCTGCATACCACTAGGTCCTGGTTGTGGCTCACTGCTTGATTTTCTCACAACAAATCTGTCCATGGAAGATTGTTTTTCCCTTCTGCGCAAGATGTCTCTGTAGTAAGGCATCACATTGTCATTGAAAAGATTAAGGCAACGGCCTACTACAGCTTTCTCTGGGTGAGTCTTCAATAAAAGTTTGCATCTCTTCCCACATCTGACACCACTTCTTAATGTCTGCAGAAGGGACATTCTGTACTGCCTCATCCTCCTCCACTGGAGAAACATCCTCAGCTGTGTCTTCTTGCTGTTCCTTATGAAGGGCTTGGAGTTCTTCGGTGGCCAGTTCTTCGTTGTGTTCTTCCACCAACTCCTCCACATCATCACCATCCAATTCCAAGCCCATTTGCTGCCCCAGAGTAACAATTTCCTCAACTATAGGCACATCATTTACAGGATCAAACTCCTCAAGGTCTAGTTCTGTCACACATTCAGACCACGATTTTCTCCAGCCAGAGATCAGGGTTCTTTGAGTCACTTCTTGCCGGGCTTTGTCAACGAGTTTTAAAGAACTACAAATGTTAAAATAGTGTTTCTAGAACTTCTTGAGAGTGAGGTTTGTGGCTTCAGTCACTTCAAAACATTTCCGGAAAAGTGCCCTTTCATAATGTTTCTTAAAATTCGCTATGATTTTCTGGTCCATAGGCTGAATTAGAGGAGTGGTGTTAGGAGGAAGGAACTTTACTGTGAGAAAATTACTGTATCTGTGCAACAATTCATCTTCCAAGCCTGGAGGATGAGCAGGAGCATTGTCGAGGAGAAGCAGGGTCTTGAGTGGCAAATGTTTCTCCTACAGATATTTTTCTATGGCAGGGCACACCACTTCATTCACCCACTCCGAAAAAAAAATCCTAGTCACCCGTGCCTTATTATTAGCCCTCCACATCACACACATTTATTTTTTCTGCACACCATACTGTTTGAAAACCCTTGGATTTTCAGAATGATACACAAGTGTTTAATTTTCAAATCGCCATTCGCATTTGAACACAGCACAAGCGTAAACCTATCTTTCATAGGTTTGTGTCTGGGCAATGAGTTTTCTTCCTTGATAGTTTATGTCCTCTTAGGCAATCTTTCCCAGAATATTCCTGTCGCATCACAATTAAACACTTGTTGTGGTCGGTATCCCTCATTCTCTACAAACTCGTTAAATTCTTCAATAAATCTTTCAGCCGCTGGTTTGTCTGAGCTGGCAGCCTCCCCATGCCTCACAACACTATGAACTTCTTTTTCTAAAATTGTCAAAGCATCCCCTGTTTGCCTTAAAGTTTATCGTATTTGCACTCGTTCCAGGGGTGTTCTTTACAAGGTCTTCGTGCAATACCCTGGCTTTCTCACAAATGACGGCCTCTGAAACACTATCACCCACTACCTCCTTGTTATGTTTCCAAATTAATAACTTTTCCACATCCTCAAAGTATTTGTGGTCTTTGTTTCGTGATTTTTCTTACGCCTTTTGCCACGTTAGCACTCATAATGTCCTTTTTCTTGGCAAATATAGTGCATATAGTTGATGTGTTGTACTGCCTACAAAGTTCAACAACACGTGTACCATTTGCATGCTTCCGAATGATCTCTTGCTTTTCCTCTATTGTCATCCTCATATGCGATTTCTTGGCTTGAACCTTACCATGGGCTTTCTTGTGACTCATTGCAAGATATATAATGACACCTTTTATGGTCAAGTGACCAAAAATCCAACAAAACACTGAAAATCCTGGAGAAGAATTTAGGAGGGAGAGTCACTGGGTGTGAGGCACTGGTAAACTGAGCGCTGATCGCCGTGCCACCACGCGCTACGCCGGCCTGTACGCGTATCAACACCCTCGCATTCCAAGGCAATGCTCGTATTCCGATTCAAGTTTTCCAAGGAAATCCTGCTCGTATTCCAAAAAACTTGTAAACAGGGACGCTCGTATTTCGAGGTACCACTGTATTTCATACGTTCACAGAGACGGCTCGTAAGCCAAATATTCGTAAACTGAAGCAAATTTTCCCATAAGAATTAATGGAAATTGAATTAATCCGTTCCACACACTCCAAAAAATTAACTTGAAAGTAAATTTTATACCTAATTCACCCAAATCTTTGATACTAAAGTATGTACAAGTTATTACTTGCCTTTACTGATGACTCTTGTTGGCGTATGGAAGACTGTGAGGACGGGGGGGAGGAGGAGAGGTGTTACTGTTTGGAAGAGGAGTCCATTTCCATTATAACATCAGGCAGTGATGACTTCTCTGGGGGTACACTCTCTCCTACGTTTTGCCTGCATACTGCTCGAACCTGGTTGTGGTTCATTGTTTGTTTGTCTCACTAAAAATTTGTCCATGGAGATTTGTTTCTCTCTTTGTTATAACATTTGTCTGTAGTGATGCATCACAGTGTCATTAAAAAGGTTAGGCAACAGCCTACTGCAGCTTGATTTGGGTGAGTCTTTTGTAGTACTTTTTTATTTGTATATTTGTATTTGTAGGACAAATGTAGTCCAAATACATCAAGTGGGTTGTAACGTTGGTTGACCAAATGCATTAAGTGGGAGGTAACTTTCGTATTGCAATTACAGTAACACCGTGACACCTTCAATATTTGTAAACAGAGTTGTAGACAGTTGAAACAAGTTAGGTGAGAAGGTGGTGGAGGCCAAGACCGTCAGTAGTTTCAAAACGTTATATGACAGAGTGCTGGGAAGACGGGACACCACGAGCATAGCTCTCCTCCTGTAACTACACTTGGGTAATTACACATTTTCTGAATTGTTGAGGAAGGGACATTCTGTACTGCCTCCTCCTCGCCTGAAGAAATTAACTCGGCTGCCTCTTGTTGCTGCTCCTTTTGAAGGACTTGGAGTTCTTCGGTGGTCAGTTCTTTGCCGTATTCCTGTGTCCCCACTCTTCCCTCACCGCCACTCTTCCCACACCACCACTCTTCCCACACCACCACTCTTCCCACACCACCACTCTTCCCACACCACCACTCTTCCCACACCACCACTCTTCCCACACCGCCACTCTTCCCACACCGCCACTCTTCCCTCACCGCCACTCTTCCCACACCACCACTCTTCCCACACCACCACTCTTCCCACACCACCACTCTTCCCACACCACCACTCTTCCCACACCGCCACTCTTCCCACACCGCCACTCTTCCCACACCGCCACTCTTCCCACTCTTCCACTCTTCCCACCCCCACTCTTCCCACACCGCCACTCTTCCCACACCGCCACTCTTCCCACACCGCCACTCTTCCCACACCGCCACTCTTCCCACACCGCCACTCTTCCCACACCGCCACTCTTCCCTCACCGCCACTCTTCCCTCACCGCCACTCTTCCCTCACCGCCACTCTTCCCTCACCGCCACTCTTCCCTCACCGCCACTCTTCCCTCACCGCCACTCTTCCCTCACCGCCACTCTTCCCTCACCGCCACTCTTCCCTCACCGCCACTCTTCCCTCACCGCCACTCTTCCCTCACCGCCACTCTTCCCTCACCCCCCACTCTTCCCTCACCCCCCACTCTTCCCTCACCCCCCACTCTTCCCTCACCCCCCACTCTTCCCTCACCCCCACTCTTCTCTCACCCCCCACTCTTCTCTCACCCCCCACTCTTCCCTCACCCCCCCACTCTTCCCTCACCCTCCCCACTCTTCCCTCACCCTCCCCACTCTTCCCTCACCCACCCACTCTTCCCTCACCCCTCCCCCACTCTTCCCTCACCCCCCCACTCTTCCCTCACCCCCCCACTCTTCCCTCACCCCCCCCACTCTTCCCTCACCCCCCACTCTTCCCTCACCCCTCACTCCCCCACTCTACGAACCATTGTTCGTCGAACCGAGTGAGTAAATCCGGTCTGAAGAGTGTGCGAACTAGCCTGAGATTCGTTGAATCGAGGTTGGACTGTCATTTTAAGTGTTAATTTTAGTGTTGTGTTAGTATAGGTTATGTAAATTGTCAAGAATTCTTAACTTCAAGATGTTTGGCATCAATCAAGAAGACGAACAACAACAACAAGATAAGTTGATGTTTCTAGTTGAATATATAATAATTATATGTGGCAAGGCAATTCAAATTTATGTTGTTTGTAGTATAAAAATAGTTGGAAATGGTCACTATTGGACGCTGAAGTGAAAAAGTACTATTATCCGGAACACGTGATTATCCGACTGGGGGTCCTTCCCATATAGTCCGGATAATCGAGTGGCGACAGTACCTCGTTAATGTTCGTGGCCTTTCTTGGGCTTGTGTAGCCTTGGGTCGCAGGTTGCAGCCAGTTGTCTCAACTTCAAGTTGAGGAGCAAGTGGCGGCTGCCTCCTGGGCAAGTCCCTCTTTTCCTTTATCTATGGTTAGGTAGCTTCGGGAAGCCAAAGGGGCTCTCCCCAGAAAACCAGCGTTGAATGTAATGAAACGCCATTTTCTGGGTGAGACCCGGAGGACCCATCCCTTCCTCCATTCAGTTGGTGTTTTTTTTTTTTTTTTTTTTTTTGCATTGTTTTATATCCAGCCTCTGAACTGAAGTTGAGTTGCCTGTGCATAAGGTCTGAACCCCCCCATCCTTTCCCCCTCCTGGGAAGGGGGCAGTTACGCAGTCATCAGCATGACAGCTGTGGTGACATCATGCTTATTTAATTGTTTTTGATTGGGGAGTTCTACTAGCTAGTTTGGCTTTTGGTTTGCAATTTTTAACCAGCTGTTGTTTGTTTTGAATTCCTACTTTTCTCAGTGTCTGACCTGGCAGATGGCAGACATTGACTGCTTCCAGTTACACGGGGGTGTCTATAGGCCATTGCTCCTCGTGCCTCTCTTGAGGAGGCCAGGTTCTAGCACAGGTCCCCAGTAGGCTTAGAACCCCATAGATTGACTGTTGCCACAGTCTAATATACAGTATACGCATCAGCCAGGTATAGCTCCAGGGAGCCTCCGGGTCTCGCCCAGAAAATAGTGTTTCATTACATTCAACGCTGGTTTTTTAATCTTTTAGATTTAATAAAGCCCTCACTTCATGTGAAATCATTTTTAATCATGGCTGCTGGTTACTTTGTGTTTCTCTACATCATTATCAGCTCTGCTTTGATCACCAATTTTTTAACGCCAATCAAAAGTTAATACTTTGGCGTACCCCGCGTGCCACCCCTCAACTGTGCGATATGGGACCCAGGGTGTCACGGGAGCGCGCGTAAATTCTGAAAAGTGTATACTCTCTTCAAGTTTGTCACCTTAATTCTCGTCCTACGAGATTAAATTTTGTATCGTTGTGTTCGCAATAGAATTCTCTACAGCATTAAATGCATATAAACTCCAAAAGCCCAGCTAATTACCCGCAGCAAACAGAGGAAGTGCGAACGAGTTACCCAGGAGCGCGCAAACGCGATAAAATGTTTTCCTATTTTCACTCTGGTCACCTCAATTTTCGTCCTAGGTCTTTCATTTTGGTCTCAATGGGTTCGCAATAGAATTCTCTAGAGGAACATTAGCATATAAAATAAAAAACCTGGTCACGCTCCAACCGCCGACGAGTTGAAGACAGGCCACGCGTTAACCGCAAGTGAGCGCTCAGACGCCTTCCAGCTACACTCCAAATTCCCGCCCTTTTCAAGCCTTTCTTTCACAATTTTCTTCCTGGAAGGGCCTTGTTCATGATCACTATCCATCGTGGAGTAAGCGTAGATAGTTTCTAAAGCCGCAGTAAGAAATATAGCCACGGAAAATAGCCGAAATGTTCACATGTTTGAGATGCAAGGGGAGGCGACATTGGTCACATTGGGGAGCGAAAACAATGGGCCCACGGCATGTGCCAAGCCGCCTGAGGGCCACGAGGCTCAACAAAGAAAATGGGAAGACATCGGCGCGCATTTTAAAACCAGTCCCCAAAAAATCGGATAAAAACCTGATTTTTGGCGATTATTTAAAGTGGATGACGCAATGCTGCGTCATCCCCGGCATTACCGACAGTAAACGGATGACGCAATGCTGCGTCATGCCCGGGCGAAAGTGTTAAACATTTTATATATCATAATGCAGAAAGTTTATTTTAATAAAATTTTGTTTGTGGACATGACAAGTTCACTGTTTTGTTGCCTATTGCAATCCCACTAATATTGACACACACGTTTAGTATTCAACAGACTACGACGATGAAAAAAACTGTAGTGTGTGCCTAGCACAACGTGACTTCAAAGCTGGAGATCAGTTCACCATGTACTACAGTCAGCGTCCCAACACTGAACTTTTCCTTCATAATGGCTTTGTTGTTAGAGGTAAGTATTTGGCAGACCATCATATGATGTTCATGTGCATCTCTATCCATTTCTCAACTGCCCCCCCCCCCTCCCTCCCTCCCTCCCTCCCTCCCTCCCTCCCTCTTTCCCTTCCCCATGGTAGCTTCCTGATTTGTGGTTCTGCTTCACCTGTACTTTCTAGGACTTTTCTGAGGGGAGCCCCGTCGGCTCCTCGGAGATATCCAGGCTGAATGGATATGTATAACTTTCTGGCATGTCAATGCATGGAGTTCTTGCATACCGGAGACCATGAGCCAGAACCTGGCCCCCTCTAGAGAGGCACGAGGAGCAATGGCTTATAAGAGACCCCCTTTATTATTGGGAGCATTCTGTGTCTGCCATCGACCGGGATAGGCACCCAAAAAGGTAGGCACCCCAAGACAAACCCCTATTCTGGTAAAACTACTGCGACCGAAGACCAAACAAGTGGACAGAACTCCCCAAACGAAAACTAGGAACGAGCACGACGTCATCACGTTGCCGTGCCGCTGTCTGCGTAACCCCCCCTTCCCTGTGAGGGGGAACGGGCAGCCCCAGACCTAACTGCCGGCGACCCACCCTACAGTTCTTGGCTGATGGGAGTCTGGTGTGGTCGTGCCTCTGGCTCCAGTGTTTTATTACAGTTCTGTGCCTTGTGGTGTGAGCTGTCCCTTCCGGTGGTGCGTGGGCCATGAGTGATACTCTACGGTACTCGGGCTGCATGCGCCTAGGGTTTCCTTCCCTAGGTGCCCTGTAAGTACTGCCCTTGGGGCTGGGGGCCACCTTCCAGAAGTCACCTCGGGATCTACCTCCGCTGTGCTGTTTACTGCTCAGTATTTGGCCGCCCTTGGGATCAGCTGGGGTTTTTTCTTGCCCTTGTTTGTCTCTGGGTAGGGGTAGTTTTCGTCACTGGCAGGGGCACAGGGTACTGCACAGCTAGTTTTCACCAATAACAGTGGCCGGCTCTGTTCCGCTTGGATCCGTTGTCCTCTCGCGGGGGTTTTCTTTTGTTTTTGTTTTCCGTTGGTGGGGGGTCTGCCCTTGTAATTACCTAAGTGTAGTTACAGGATGAGAGCTACGCTTGTGGTGTCCCGTCTTTCCAGCACTCTTTGTCATATAACATCCTTGTGTTATAATCCTTGTGTACCCCCTTCTCTGTTCTTGGGGTTATTGTATCCATCTACCTTGTTTTGGTGGTCCACCCCGCCTTGATCCCCCATGAGTGTACACGTTCCGGGGGTTCGGCTATAGAAGTTTTGTTGGTTGATTGGGCGCCGGTTCGCAGTACCCTGCCTGGGCTTCCCTTAGCGTGTATCCAAGGCTAAGGGCCCTGGGAAACCCCCCTGGGGGTTACGTGGTCCGATGGATGTGACCCCTGAGTTTCCCCTCGCTTCTTGCGAGTTTGAAGGTTGCTCTGTCCCCTTGTCTCTGGGGGACACTCACCAGTTTTGCCTCCGGCATGCTGCCTTTGGGTCGGTGATTGTTTTGACCCGGAGTCGTGCGACGTGTGTTGACTGTACGTACTCCAGTTCAACTAGGCTACTGTTCCTGATACGCAGGTGTGGGCAGCTGAGGCGTTGCATGCTAGATTTGGTTTGCTGCAACACGCTAGGTTGGTTGCTGCAACGCGCTAGGTTGGTTGCTGCAACGCGCTAGGTTGGTTGCTGCCCCGGATGCCCCGAGACTGCCCCGTTTTAGTTATGGGACCCGGACTTGGGGGTGGGAGTCACCTTGGCTCTGGTTCCGTCCGCCCCTCCTAGTTCTCCTGTCATTCATTCTGTTCCTCCACCCCCTCTTGCTTCCGGCTTCGAAACGGCTGAGGGTTTTGGAGTTGGGGCAGGGATTATTTGGTTTGGAGACTCGGGGGTGTCCCCCTTGTGGGGCTGTGGCGGAGGCATTCGAGCCTGGTTCTTCTGCCGGAGCTTCTGGGTCTGTACAGTGGACCCCCTTCGTTCCTGCTTTTTCAGCTGCTTCTGCCTTTTCTTTAGAGGTGGGGGGTCAGGAGGATGGCTCGTCCCGGGTTCTCAGGGTGAGGTTCCCGGGGTTGGGGAGGGGTTGGCTTGGGGGCCTTGGGCCTCGTTGGACCCCGCCTGGGTTTTTCTACCCTCTGAGCGGTGCTTGGTGTTACAAGGAGAGGGGTTCTCTTTCGCTCCCTCCCCGTATGAATTGGACTTGGTGTCCACCCCTCCCCGTGTTCGGTTCCGTGATCCCACGGGTTCTTCAGTTCCGTCTTTCCGGAAGTTTCTGGCTTCCTGTGTTTCGTCTTTGGAGGTGCGGGAAGCCTTGGCGGCTTACCTCCTGCGCGACCCGAATTGTGCTTCTGTGATGGATCCGCGTTCCTTCGTATATGGACCTTTGGTTCGTACTGGGTTCGTTATAAAGTTCTGGAGTTGTCCTGGTTGGCAGACTGTCCTCTCTTTTCGATGGAGGCTTGGCACGCGTTCTGTTGGTCCCATGCGCTTGAGTGGTGAGAGACTTCTGCAGTGTTCCAGGTTTTCCTGGGGGGCGACTTCGAGCATCTGAATGCTTGTTTGTTCACTCCTGCCCTTCCACAGGATGTTGGTGTCATGCAGCTTCACGTGCAGGTTCCTTCCCTTTCGGCTGCCTTGGTTGCTGAAGATTTGTGGACTCGTGACCTGCTTGCTTCGGTCCTGCGTTTTTTTCCCCTCCTTGAGCTGTCCTCGGATTGGCTTGAGTTGGATGTGGGGGCGCTTGGGGCCGGTGCCGGGTTCGGTGCGCTGCCCTCTGAAGTGCGGGAGTTGCCTGCTTTGTTGAAGCTCTTCACGCCCATCCTGCGTGATGCGGTTTCATGGTTCTATGCTTCTTGCCTCGCGTGTCATCAGGCAGTGCTGGCTTCTTCCTTGGAATCCGCGTGGGCCCTGGCTCTTCGTTCAACTTTGCCCTTTTGTCCGTTGCTGTTTGCTGAGTCTGCTGTGGTGCAGTACCTACAGGGGGCTTCGGTTAGTTGTCGGCCTATGTCCGAGTTGTTTTTGCTGCCGGGGGATTGCGGGGTGCCTTCCCGGAAGGATCGTGCAAGGGCTCGGGGTTCTTTTCGTCGGAGTAGGCCTTTGGTGCCAGATTCGGGGCTGGTGCAGCCTTCGGTTCTGGCTGTTGCTGGTCGGCGCAGGGATCGCCCTGTTCGCTGCTTGGGTTCTTGCAATGTGTGTCGGCCCATTTGCAGTTCATCCCATTGATGGGGCAATGGGGGGGGGGGGCGGCTCGCCCGGTTTGCTCGCACCTGGTCCCACGATTCGTGCACTTTTCGGGTCGTTTTGTGCAGCCTGTGGTGGCGTTGGGTGGCTCCTCCTCCCTCGGAGGGTTCGGGGCAGGCCTCTTTCCCTGCGCTCTGTCGGGTCATCTCAGAGTGGGTTTGCTTGGGCGTGGTCGAGATGACGGCGTTCCTCAGGTGGGTTTCCCGCCTATTTCCGCTCTGGGACTGCGCGGCCCTCTGGTTCATTCTTGACTTGTCCGGTCTGAGCCCGTGGGTTTCTCGCCCCTCCTTCAGGATAACTACTCTGTCCCAAGTTCGTCTTCTCTTGGAGCCGGGCACTTGGATGGTGTCCCTTGACCTCAAGGATGCATATTGGCACGTCCCGGTTCATCCGGGGTTCAGGGACTGGCTCGGTTTTGTTGTGGGGCGTCAAGGATAACGCTTTGTTGTCTTCCCTTCGGTTGAATCTGGCGCCTCGCGTTTTTACGTGCCTTTCTCTGGTCATGGTGGCCCGCCTGCGTCTGTTAGGTATTTGGGTTCTGGCCTACCTCAACGACTGGCTGGTTTGGGCTCCCAGCCGATCCGCGTGTCTGCTCGCCAGGGATTTGATTCTTTCCCAGCTCGCCGGGTTCGGGTTCTTAGTAAACTGGAGGAAGTCCCATCTGGTTCCCCCTCAGGTTCGGTCTTGGCTGGGTCTGCTATGGGATGCTCACACCGCTTCCTTGTTTCTGTGTCCGGCAGCTCTGTTTCGCCTGCGGTCCCGCCTTCGCCTGTTTCTGAGGGGTTCCTGGGTCTCACGGCAGTTGCTCGAGAGTTTGTGCAGGACCCAGAACTTTGCCACGATGGTCTACCCGCCAGGTCGGGTGTGGCTTCGTCGGCTGTTCTGGTTCCTTCGGGGACGGCCCTTCCGCCTCTTCTCGCGATCGTTGGGTTCAGCCTCCAGGGGCTTTGCGTCGGTTGCTGCATCGCCGGCTTCCTCTTTGGGTTTTTCGGGGTTCAGTGCCTTGGCGCCTACCGGAGCCCTCGCTCGATGTGTACACAGACGCGTCGTCTCTTGGCTGGGGTTTTGTGACCAGCGCTCACCAGGCCGGCCAGGGGCAGTGGGGTCCGTCCTTCCATCGGGCTCACAGCATGGTCCGGGAGTTCATGGCGGTGTGGATGTCGCTCCGAGGGATTCGAGTCGCTCGCGGATCGATGATCCGGCTCCATTCGGACTGCTCCCCAGTGGTTCATTGTCTGAACCATGGGGGTTTGGTGCGGTCCTTGGCTCTACGACATGAAAATGACGTATAAATTTGTTCATGATATTTAGAAATATTACCAGGTAGTAAATAAGAATTAAAGTTCACAATATCATCAAAACTCAGGTTGACATTTGGGATTAAAAAAGATTAGGAAAATTGGTTGCATCAAGTGAATAAGGTAATTCTTAGTTTCTCTTAAACAGGCTGAGAGAAGAACAACTTTTAATATTAGGAATGTCATATCACAGTTTAGGACCCTTGATTTGCAGTGTTTCTACTCTGGTTAAGTCGCACTCTTGGAATATCAAAAAGATACTTGTTTCTTGTGTGGTGTCCATGTGTTGTGTTACAGCCCTTTTGGAGTCTACTAGTACTAGTAGCCTCACAAGGAAGTACTAGTACTTCCTTGTGAGGTGATAGATGCACACCCCTCTAATTGTACTCCTCTCTCATACTTTGTAAACTGGATTATAGCTGCCCTGCTTCTCCTTCGACCCTTTGTCGTCTTGATGCTCTGAACCATGCTGGGTGCACCTCAGCTCTGGTGCCTTTCATTCCTTCCCTACCCAGAACTTTTATGTCGAAACTTGCATCTTGTTGCTACAGGATCAACAAGAGAGTTACTGCTTTTGCTATCTTGCACGGTCTCTGCATTACATTATCTTCATTCTTGCTTTTTCTGCATTTTGGCTGTCTGTCTACTGGTAGGCTCTGTTGTTTTCACTGCCTTCATTTTTCTATAAGGATGTCTTGCTTACAAGCCTCCCTTTCAGTTTGTGCTTGCAATGTCTGTCCTCATGTCATTCCATCCTTGTCCCCATGGAGGTTCCCACTTGAAAAGTTTTCCTACTTCGATCCACTTGGTAATGACTTTTACCCCTCCTATTATTATCAAACTCCTTTTCCTTGAACATTTTTCTTTGCACTCACATCTCACTGCACTATTTGCAAATGGGTCTGACTCTGCTGACAGTATTGGCTACTCTGTAGTCTTTCTGGACCAAACCTGTGTTTGCTGACTATCTCTGGAGGCTAGCATCTTCATGGCTGAACTTTGTGTGTGATTTTATATATACTTTGTCAAGTGCCTTTCATACAACAGTGCTCCTTCATCTCTAGCAGATTTAAGACAGTTGGGTTTTCTGGTTTCCAGTCTTACAGGTGTTATCTTAAATGAGCGTGCAGATACTACCGCTAAGGAAGCTATCCACATGGCCTATTTCCCCAAAAAAGGCACTCATTCAAATTTCTACCCAGTCATTCATTCGTTGGTCTGAGACCGTAGGCAGGGTCATTGCTCTTGTGCTGCAGGTAACAAACTGAGAGCTCTTAAGGGTAGCCTGTACCCTTGGCCTTCCTCCTACCACCATAATTGGCAGTGGGAAACATTTCTGTCTTAGGTCATGTATTGGCCATACACCTTTAACTCTTGGCCACTTGATGGAATGCTGCCTTATTGTTCTATTATTATTATATCCTTATTGTTCTAACTGCATTGTCCCTCTTATAGTCGTGCACCTCCTTGTAGAATGACCTAATTTTCAGGACATTCATGTCATGCTTCCCAAATGTCCCACATGGTCATTTGTCTCGATGGAATCCTGTACCTCCGATATAACTTGTCTAATGTGCTTTTGTTCTAATGTTGACATCCTTACTGATATTTAGTGCCTTTTGAATATCCAGTGACTGATGGTACTTAGTCTCCCTTGTTTGGTGCTTTCTTTTGATGATTACTTTGCTAATTTTTTAATTTGGAATTTTTAATAAATCTGGAATCGCCTTATTTTGTGCATTTGCTATAATTCCCTTTTAAGAATTATAAATTACCATTGGGATAAGTAAGTACAGTCCAGTATTGTAAGGAAAGTAACTACTCCATAGAGCCCATGATCTCAATCCCTAGACTGTGAAGCCATGCCATTTCTCTGTATCCATATAGCCACATAACTGGTACTGTCTGTTTTAAGAGTAATCATATAAATCATTTTTGCTTTACAGATAATAAGAATGATAGTCTGGCCATCAAGCTAGGCGTCAGTAAAAGTGACACACTTTATGATGAGAAGGTGGCACTCCTGTTGTCCCTGGGCTTGCCCTCTGCTGGCTCTTTTATGCTGATTCCCGGACAACACCCCATCTCACCGGGCCTTCTGGCCTTCACTAGGATCTTCTGTATGGATAAATGTAAGTACACACCAAACAGTTTCATTATGTAAATATGATATTTTTTCTGGGTATTTCTGTAATTACCCAAGTGTAATTACAGGATGAGAGCTACGCTTCTTGGTGTCCCGACTCCCCAGCACTCTTTGTCATATAACGCTTTGAAATTACTGACAGTTTTGGGCTCCACCAAGTCACTGTGGGGAGCCCTAGAGGCTCCCTGAAGCTATTCCACTAATATAGTGCTATCCTATTTGAAGGTCAGGAGTCAGAGTTCTTGTTACCTTTTGGGGACCAGCGCCAGAACCTGGCCCGCTCAGAGAGGCGCAAAGAGCAATGGCCTATGAACACTTTACATTTAAAGTATATCATACATGCCATCGACCAGAGAAAGCACCCAGAAAGGCAAGTGAAACAAGACAAACTACTATCTGGTTAAAAATTGCGACCTACGTCGTCAAAAGAGCAAAAGAACTTCCCCAGAAAGAAAACAAACAACACTTCATCAAACTAGCCCTCCACTCTTTAGTGCCAACCCCTCCACCCCAAACCCACAGTGGGGGGAGGGGGAGCTGGCCTGGGTCAGCCTCCTCCAGTTTTTGACTAGTGTACTGGTGGTTGATCGTGGCAATGATTTCCTCAGGCCATGATTTCCTGTTCTGGGATTTTGCCTTGTACGGCTGTTCCTACATCTGTGGTGTGCGTTAGCTTGGAATTCCTGGGTATTGAAGCTGCATGCTTCTAGGGACACCTTCCCTATGCATTCCATGAGTACTGCCCTTGCGTGGTCAGGGTTATCTTCCCTGGGGCATTCGAGAAACACTCCCTGTTAGAGGACTTCCTTGCTTGTGGTTGTCCTCGCCCTTGAGGTCAGACAAGGGTCTTGAACTTTCTGCCTTGCCCCTGGTTGGGGAGGGGGGGTTATCGGCTGGTGGGGCACATCGCGGTGGCTACTACTTAAGCTATCACGAGGCTGCCGATGTTTCTCTCCGACTGCTTGTTGGCTATTGTGGAGTCAAAACCCCCAAAACCCAGTTTTGGAGGTTTTGTCTTGATTTGGGTTTCTTAGTGTTTTCACCTGTTTTTGCAGAGAAGTACTGGTTTGTGCCTCATTAGGCTCTGCCTAGGGTGTGGTGGGGGGGTATTACTCTGTTACCATGAGGCATTACAGTGGCCTCTGCTTGCAGTCAGTTTGCCTGCATTGACAGGTTTTACCAGCTAAGCTGGCCCCCAGTGTCTGGGCTTATTCACCCTATGGGCCCTGGAAACCCCCTGTGTGCACAGTCGTATCGTGGATAATTCTTCCAAGTCCTCTCTCGCCTTGTGCAAGTCAAGGGTTGTTCATTGCCCCTGCCTCAAGGTGACGATTATCCATCTGCCTCCACGATCGGGAGCCGGTCGGCCGAGCGGACAGCACACTGGATTTGTGATTCTGTGGTCCTGGGTTCGATCCCAGGCGCCGGCGAGAAACAATGGGCAGAGTTTCTTTCACCCTATGCCCCTGTTACCTAGCAGTAAAATAGGTACCTGGGTGTTAGTCAGCTGTCACGGGCTGCTTCCTGGGGGTGGAGGCCTGGTCGAGGACCGGGCCGCGGGGACACTAAAGCCCCGAAATCATCTCAAGATAACCTCAAGATAACCATGCTGCCTGTTGGGTCGGGGACACGTATGACCTGTAGTCTTGCGGAACTTGCTCCCCGTTTGTGCTCCAATTCACTCATGCCTTATATGATATTCAGTAGGATTAGGCAGCTGCTGCATTGCATAACCAGTTCTCTATATTGCAACGGGCCAGGTTGGTTGCCTAGTTGGAAGCCCCAGAGCTGTCCCGGTAGAGTTTTAGGGACTCTAATTTGGGGGAGCTGGTCGCTTTGGCTATGGTTCAGTACATGCCTCCTTTTCATTCCTAAGTGGACGTGGTTCGCCCTGCTTCTCCTGCCCTACTTCTGGCTCCCAAATGTTGGAGGATTTCAGAATTGGGGCTGGGTTTAGCTCGGGGTGAGGTTCGGGTGACTTCAGGGACTCCTAGAGTCCCTTAAAGTCACATTTATAGTTTAATGAATAATAGGCAACTTGGTGTTGAAAACACCTGGAGCTGAAAGCTTAAGTAAAAAGTTGAAGTATTTAGCAGTATTTAGAAGTGGTTCAATGGAAACACCACATTATACTTAACAGTAGTTTGTTTACACTTAACCACCAATACAATGGGTGCTTGATTTACTTTAGATTGGCGTCAGCAAGGCTATTATTGCAGTAGCGAGACTCTTGACGTCTAATTGATTCTGATCCACTCGTGGACAAAACCTAACTTAACACGATTGACAGCCAATCACTAACACGGCATTCTTAATAGTGCCGGTGTGCAAAGGGTCGCAGGAGTTCCAAACAGGATACTTGGGCAATAATCATGCACAATAAATCAACAATGGCACTGTCAATGAGACCGGCAATAATCATGCACATTAATTATGTCACACAATAGCTAAATGTGTGGTGTATGTGAAGCTCACATTCACTGACGAGTGTAATGACGTGATACCACACAGATAAACACCCATACACCGTCGGGTGTCTTGGTTTCCACCTATACCTGTTTCAGGTGTTGAGAAGGTGAGAACTCTGGCTGACCACTCAGGTCAACACTCAGAAAGACACTTTTCAAAAACAAGATCTCGTACTTACAGGTATGGCTAGCCCTAACCATTCACTCACTCAAGGTCATTCTTGCTAGCATCCTCGCAGGTAGCCTAACTCCATGCTCATTACGATGTAAGAGCACACCCAACATGACCATATTTGACACAGCGGGGTACTAGCAGGTGGTGTGCTGTGTTTCATACAATGACCGCAAGTAGTATCTTACGTAGACACACTTGCAGGTAAAAGACACAGATGCCCCAATCACACAGGCAGGTAAAAGACACAGATGCCCCAATCACACAGGCGCGTGAAGGAAGGGTGGGATAGGCAGTGACATCACATAGTACAGTAAGGTGGAGCGGGCGGCAGCTTGCGACGGCTGGCTATGCACCCTAGACTTTAGGTGGCAGCTAAGCTATTGCACCATACAGGTGCCTGTGTTATAAGTTGACACAAAGTACTTAGGCGACAGCACTTCCTAGTTCACTCTAGGTCATTGAGTCACATTGAGTCACAGGGTAAGTGATATGGGCTTGGATGTACTGCAATAAACCATTCAAGTCAGCTTTGGGAGAATCTAGAAGGATCTTTTTCTTCTAGATGATATCTTAAAGCATATTTAATGTCTAACAGGACGTGATCACTCTTTCCCAAGGGAGGAAGGTACTGGATGTCAAATATCTCTCTTTCTTTCCTGGTGAACACTAGATCCAGTACTGATGGTACATCTCCTTCCCTCATTCTTGTGGCCTGCTTGATGTGTTGATTCCAGAATGTCTCCAGAATGAGGTTCTCAAATCTACATATCCGAAAGTCCTCCGTTCTTGCCTGACCTCCCAGTCTATTGCTTTAAAGTTGAAGTCCCCCATTATCAAGAGTCGTGATTTATCTTTATCTGCTTGTACAATAATATCTCCCATGACCATTATGAGGCCCTCTCGTTTGTCATCCAGTTCTTACTTTGTCCATGTGTTGCTTGCTGGTGGGCTGTAGCCATTTACAATTATCAGCTTATCATCCTGATTCCAGAAGTGCAATGCCATTATGTCCATATCTCATCTCGAGGGTTTTCAAATATTAACTCTCTTACCTTCAGGTGTTCTTTCACCACCACAGCCACTCCTTCCTTCCTTCCTAGTTTTCCTGTCACGTCTCCAAAATGAATAGCCCCTTGGGAATACGACTTCCATCAGTGCCATATTTAATACGAATACCATCAGTGCAGTGATGGTTGTGGCGTCATACTCGATTGCTTGTTTTTCAATAGGGGAGTTCTGTCCAACAGTTCGGCTTTCTGTAGCAATTTTGTTTAACCAGATAGGGTTTGTTTTGGGCCGCCTACCTTTCTGGGTACCTGACCTGGTCGCTGTTAGAAGTAGAATACTCCCAACCACATGGGGGTTTCTATAGGCCATTGCTCCTTGTGCCTCTCTGAGGGGGCCAGGTTCTGGCTCATGGTCCCTGGTAGGCCTAGAACTCCATTCGCTTTGACTGATGCCAGGGTCTAATACATTCATATCAGCCTCCGGATCTCACTCAGAAAATGGCATTTCATTACATACAACGCTGTCTTTTTGTGCTTCCTGAATGCTAATTATCAATGCCAAATGAAAGCATAATTTTTCAGAATGATTTGTTTTGTGTAATTACCTAAGTGTAGTTACAGGATGAGAGCTGGAATAAGCCAAGTGAGAAGATGGTCGAAGGCAAAAACGTCACTAGGTTCAAAACATTATACGACAGAGTACTGTACTGGGAAGACGGGACATCCCGAGTGTAGCTCTCATCCTGTAACTACACTTGGGTAATTACAATGCAGGGGTTAAACATAATTTCGCTCTCATTGCTTTATATCATAATACACATAGAATGTATTTGTCTAGCAAATTTATGCTTATCATTTTTTTTGTATTTTTTAGCCTCGCTAGACAAGTGGAAAGATGATGGTGAGAAGGCAAAGGGACTACTACATGAAGACTGTGATGTGGGCACAACGGTTCAAGATAAAACTTGGACGTTCCTCAACACCCGAGTTGCTCTTCTCACAAGAGCTTATTCTACTACGCTTGAGGTATGTTGAACGTGCTTCTATATCTATAGTACTTGTTAGCAAATTCATAATGTGATTGCTTGGTTTATTATTGTTACAGATTCTAAAACAAACATTTGATTTTTATTTCAAAAATTCTGAAGACTGTATTCTAAATTTTATACATGCTCTATTAATTTATTAGTCTGTTAAAATGTTCACTTGTGAAATGGTAGCAGTCCTGTCAACATCTTGTAATATAATTGGTTAATCATTAAACAGCACTCACCTTAGTGAAAGTTACAATACCTTTTTACCGGTACATTGGTTATGTGCACATGTAATTTTTCTTAGGTCACACAAATATTTTACACGTGCACTCTGCCCTCATTTATACAAGACAATACCCTGGTGCACGAGAAAAAAATAAACAAAATTTGTGTCCTTCTAATATTGTTAAAATGCATTCCCTGATCACGGGAAAATGAAAAAAAAAAGGTGACTTTGGCCTTGGTGGAGTAAAGAGATCTCGTGATGACGCCATGTGGAAATTGCCCCGTATTTATTTTGGTTCATAGATTTGTTTTTCACTTTGGTTTTTTCAGTAATATTATTCAATTGTGTGTCATTTAAGAAATTTATACTGTGTAATATAATGTGTGGATCATTGTTATGCTCAAATATATTCTTGCTACAGTACTAATGTTCTCATCATATTCTTAGAATAATAAAATGTACTGTTTTTCTGTTATTACACTGTATACACACATTATATATAGCTATCTATATTTTTGTGCATCATTACAAACTACTAAGCAGTTCTCATGGGTGTAATAGTCTCGTAACCAGTGATCAGGGTTCAGTCTCGCCCAGCATATTTTGCACAAAGTTTTAACTGTACACATTGAATGTATTTTGTTTTATTTGTATGTTAATGTTTTTACCATAGTTTTATCAAGTGCAATGGTAAATTGGGCTGTCAGTGTTATTTATATTAGAAAATGTGTGTGTGGAACGGCCACGCACAGATGTATTCGTATTTTTAATACATGCACAGTTAGATTCTTTGAACAATAAAATATACTGTTTTTGCTGTTATTACACTGTGTACCCATGTTATAATTACCTAAGTGTAATTACCTAAGTGTAGTTACAGGATGAGAGCTACGCTCGTGGTGTCCCGTCTTCCCAGCACTCTTTGTCATATAACGCTTTGAAACTGCTGACGGTCTTGGCCTCCACCACCTTCTCCCCTAACTTGTTCCAACTGTCTACCACTCTGTTTGCGAAAGTGAATTTTCTTACATTTCTTCGGCATCTGTGTTTAGCTAGTTTATATCTATGACCTCTTGTTCTTAAAGTTCCAGGTCTCGGGAAATCTTCCCTATCGATTTTATCAATTCCTGTTACTATTTTGTATGTAGTGATCATATCACCTCTTTTTCTTCTGTCTTCTAGTTTTGGCATATTTAATGCCTCTAACCTCTCCTCATATCTCTTGCCCTTCAGTTCTGGGAGCCACTTAGTAGCATGTCTTTGCACCATTTCCAGTTTGTTGATGTGCTTCTTAAGATATGGGCACCACACAACCGCTGCATATTCTAGCTTTGGCCTAACAAAAGTCATGAACAATTTCTTTAGTATATCGCCATCCATGTATTTAAAAGCAATTCTGAAGTTAGAAAGCGTGGCATAGGCTCCTCGCACAATATTCTTTATGTGGTCTTCAGGTGATAGTTTTCTATCTAGAACCACCCCTAGTTCTCTTTCTTTATCAGAATTCTTTAAAGATTTCTCACATAATATATAGGTTGTGTGGGGTCTGTGTTCTCCTATTCCACATTCCATAACATGGCATTTATTAACATTAAATTCCGTTTGCCAAGTGGTGCTCCATATACTTATTTTGTCCAGGTCATCTTGAAGGGCATGACAATCATCTAAGTTTCTTATCCTTCCTATTATCTTAGCATCATCAGCAAACATGTTCATATAATTCTGTATACCAACTGGTAGATCATTTATGTAGACAATAAACATCACTGGTGCAAGAACTGAACCCTGTGGTACTCCACTTGTGACATTTCTCCAGTCCGATACATTGCCTCTGATCACTGCCCTCATTTTTCTATCAGAAAATTTTTCATCCATGTTAGAAGCGTACCTGTCACTCCTCCAATATTTTACAGTTTCCAGAACAACCTCTTATGTGGAACTCTGTCGAAAGTCTTTTTTAGGTCCAGATAGATGCAGTCAGCCCAAGCATCTCTTTCCTGTAATACCTCTGTTGCTCGATCATAGAAACTGAGTAAATTCGATACACAGGATCTTCCAGATTGAAAACCATACTGTCTGCCTGATATTATATCATTTCTCTCCAGGTGTTCTACCCATTTAGATTTAATTATTTTTTCCAATATTTTGACGATTACACTTGTCAATGATGCCGGTCTATAATTAAGGGGGTCTTTCCTACTTCCACTTTTGTAGATTGGAACTATGTTAGTCTTTTTCCACACATCAGCTACAACTCCTGTAAACAGGGATGCCTGAAAAATCAGTTGAGGAGGAATGCTGAGCTCAGGTGCACATTCTCTCAGAACCCATGGTGAAACTCCATCTGGACCAACTGCTTTGTTCTTATGTAGCTCCTTGAGCATTTTTTCCACTTCGTCTCTAGACACCTCTATGTGCTCTATGTTGTTCTCTGGAATTCTTGTTGTATCTGGTTCCCTGAAGATTTCATTTTGTACAAACACACTTTGGAACTTTTCGTTTAATGTTTCACACATTTCATTTTCATTTGTGTGTGTGTATGTGTGTGTGTGTAATTACCTAAGTGTAATTACCTAAGTGTAGTTACAGGATGAGAGCTACGCTCGTGGTGTCCCGTCTTCCCAGCACTCTTTGTCATATAACGCTTTGAAACTACTGACGGTCTTGGCCTCCACCACCTTCTCACTTAACTTGTTCCAACCGTCTACCACTCTATTTGCGAAGGTGAATTTTCTTATATTTCTTCGGCATCTGTGTTTAGCTAGTTTAAATCTATGACCTCTTGTTCTTGAAGTGCCAGGTCTCAGGAAATCTTCCCTGTCGATTTTATCAATTCCTGTTACTATTTTGTATGTAGTGATCATATCACCTCTTTTTCTTCTGTCTTCTAGTTTTGGCATGTTTAATGCTTCTAACCTCTCCTCGTAGCTCTTACCCTTCAGTTCTGGGAGCCACTTAGTAGCATATCTTTGCACCTTTTCCAGTTTGTTGATGTGCTTCTTAAGATATGGGCACCACACAACAGCTGCATATTCTAGCTTTGGCCTAACAAAAGTCATGAACAATTTCTTTAGTATATCGCCATCCATGTATTTAAATGCAATTCTGAAGTTAGAAAGCATAGCATAGGCTCCTTGCACAATATTCTTTATGTGGTACTCAGGTGATAGTTTTCTATCTAGAACCACCCCTAGATCTCTTTCTTTATCAGAATTCTTTAAAGATTTCTCACATAATGTATAGGTTGTGTGGGGTCTATGTTCTCCTATTCCACATTCCATAACATGACATTTATTAACATTAAATTCCATTTGCCAAGTGGTGCTCCATCTACTTATTTTGTCCAGGTCTTCTTGAAGGGCATGACAATCATCTAAATTTCTTATCCTTCCTATTATCTTAGCATCATCAGCAAACATGTTCATATAATTCTGTATACCAACTGGTAGATCATTTATGTACACAATAAACATCACTGGTGCAAGAACTGAACCCTGTGGTACTCCACTTGTGACATTTCTCCATTCCGATACATTGCCTCTGATTACTGCCCTCATTTTTCTATCAGTCAGAAAATTTTTCATCCATGATAGAAGCTTACCTGTCACCCCTCCAATATTTTCCAGTTTCCAGAACAACCTCTTATGTGGAACTCTGTCAAAAGCCTTTTTTAGGTCCAGATAGATGCAGTCAACCCAACCATCTCTTTCCTGTAATATCTCTGTGGCTCGATCATAGAAACTGAGTAAATTCGATACACAGGATCTTCCAGATCGAAAACCATACTGTCTGTCTGATATTATATCAATTCTTTCTAGGTGTTCTACCCATTTAGTTTTGATTAGTTTTTCCAATACTTTCACTATTACACTTGTCAATGATACAGGTCTATAATTGAGGGGGTCTTCCCTGCTGCCACTTTTGTAGATTGGAACTATGTTAGCCTGTTTCCACACGTCTGCTACGATTCCTGTACACAGGGATTCCTGAAAGATCAGGTGAAGTGGAATGCTGAGCTCAGATGCACATTCTCTCAGAACCCATGGTGAAACGCCATCTGGGCCAGCTGCTTTGTTCTTACTGAGCTCCTTGAGCATTTTTTCCACTTCGTCTCTAGACACCTCTATGTGCTCTATGTTGTTCTCTGGAATTCTTATTGTATCTGGTTCCCTAAAGATTTCACTTTGTACAAACACACTTTGGAACTTTTCGTTTAGTGTTTCACACATTTCCTTTTCATTTTCCGTGAATCTATTTCCCATTTCCAACCTCTGAATATTATCCTTTACCTGCAATTTGTTGTTTATGAATTTATAGAATAGACCTGGTTCTGTTTTACATTTGTCTGCAATCCCTTTTTCAAAATTTCTTTCTGCCTCTCTCCTCACTGCCGTGTAGTTGTTTCTCGCATCTTTGTATCGCTGGTATGTTTGGGGGTTCGGCCTCTTCCTGTATTGATTCCATTTTTGTGTCTTTTGGTCTCTAGCCCTCTCGCAATTTCTATTGAACCAATCCTGTTTCCTAGTTCTGCATCTCTGTTTTGGTATAAATTTTTTTGTGCCTTTATCATATATTTCACAAAACTTGACATACATCTCATTCACTTCCTTGCCTAGCATCACCTTGCATAGCACCTAGTGTGTGTGTGTGTGTGTGTGTGTGTGTGTGTGTGTGTGTGTGTGTGTGTGTGTGTGTGTGTGTGTATCGTACCTAATAGCCAGAAAGCACTTCTCAGCCTACTATGCAAGGCCCGATTTGCCTAATAA